AAGGTGCGAGGAGGAGGAGCTGCCTTCCACAGCCGCAGCTTTCTCACAGGAGTTGAGGTTGAGGCACATGAACCCCTGCACAACTGAGGGGGGCGCGGGGGGGGGCTCCTGCCCTGAGGGGGAGCCCGGCAGCAGCGGGTCATAGCACCTAGGGACACAACTTACGTAGCTGCGTAATTTAGAATTGATTTAAGTTAAAAAGCACCCATTTTAGCCTGCATCAGTCTCATGATTTGGCTCCTGACAGTTCTGCAAATGCTTGTTCGAATATAAAGAAGGGGCCGTATGGGGTTTCACAGGGTAAAGAAAGCAGAGCTTTTTGGTAGTGTTGCTGATTTTTTCCTGGGTTAAAGGATCAGTGAAACTAAAGCTCAGGTCTCCATGAGCAGTGCAGTATTCACCGACCCTCAATCTGGATAAATGTCATTTGAGCCTTTTACCTGCAAGTGTACTGGAATTTGTTAATTGTATGACTGGAACAGCTATTGCCTTTAAAGGGGAATGTATAAATCGAATGCAGTTCTCTTTCTGCTATAGTTTCCCTTGTTACCTGTACACTGATGGTGTGAGGAAGGATAGCTGTTTTCATTTTGGAAACCTTTCTGTTCCAAAATTAGGACTGACACTGACATGTAGATGACTACTGGAAGACCTGGAGACGTTCTGATCAATGTTGATCTCAAGTATTAGAAAGAAAGCCCATCTGGGACCTTGTATGCAGATCTGATTAACATGAGAGGAACTTAGGAACATGGGTGATGAACACCACTGCGAGGCAATGTCTTTTCGGTGGTTTATGTTGCATGCTTTTGCTCTCTCCTTGAAGACAATGTATTTCTTGTATTGAATATGCACCCCATTCTCCAAACAAACATTTAAGTAATTGCATGCCATCTTTCAGCCCCAGCTTGATTTGATAATGTGCCCTGAATGTTATCAGTGCTTAAGTAAAATAATATTTTCTTCGTGGTCAGTATTAAAATTCAGCAACTCTGAAGAAATGTGTTAATATCACAAATCCAAATATAAAGGCAAATAATAAGAAATAAGGAATTTGTAGCTCATGACATATCCTAAAGATACCTTTTGCGTGGTATTCAAATCTTTGGGCTTGATGCAAAGTGTTAATTTTACAGAAAAAGTTAAAATCATAAACCTCAATATTGAGAGAACAATCATTCTCCTTGTTTCGAAGCTTAGTCACAAGTGCTTTCATAAAAGAATTAGATGATTTGAGTCCTTATGTCACTGCTTTCTGTGAATCTCTTCCACCCCGTTCTCCTGCTGTCTTATTTGAATGACTTCCTGCTCTTCTGTTTGTCATTCTTTAGACTTGCTGCATCAGCTTATCCTGCTGGTCCACTGTTTACCTATTCACTGTCTTCTGACTGCCTTGCTCTTGGCACCTGAAATTTGTTCTAGAGCTATGGTTTTATGATTTACCACATTTATCTAGAATGTGCTCCTTCTTGATCACTAAATGTTAATATATGCTACTATATGAGAAAGTATTTAACTGGCAAGGAATGCTTCTAGTTAGACTGTATGTTCAATATTTGATATTTACAATGTCAGAAAATGTTGCTAGTCTTGTGTTTATGGACAGTCCAGTTTGCGTTGCCATTTATATGAAATTTTACTCCTCTTTAAGTTGGTTAACATGACTCTCGCTAAATCATGGTTTCTCTAGTTTAAATATTAGACATCTTTTCATGAACTACATTTTGAAGATTTGGATTTTCTCTCTGGTATTTCATGTAACACCTTGTTCTGAACATGAACTCTCTAGAGGAATGGTGGGGCATTAAAACCTTGATGATCTGAATCAGTTTTGCAGTAGATGAAGAAACAGTTGGGAGCAGATTTTAGTTTTTGCTTAAGCATTTATACGATAGTACTGGGAGAGTTTCAATGTCTCTCTTTCAGCGTACGCTGGAAGGTAATTGCTTTTTTAGTCAGTCGTCATATTTTGGCACAATGGTTTGAATGCTGATATAGCATCAACAGTCTTGAAATCGCTGAAGTGTGTATTTATTAAGAAAATAAAGATAGGTTTTTAGGTGTGTATTAAGTCTTACTGTAGTGCATTTGACCTTTAGTCTTCAAATAATACCAACTAACAGCTTGTAATGTCATACTGTGTTTTAATAATTTGATTGAAAATGTCTTTATTGGAAGCAAATGGATTTGGAAAAGCTGAATTGGGAAGTTTTGCTATCTGATGATTAATGCAGAGGTTTGTTGTGAGCTGTCTGACTGAGGAGGTGGGTGACCGGTGCTAGCCATTTCCATTCTGAGTCAACAAAGTGAATTTACTCCACATTGCCACTGAACAAAGGTTTCCATCTGTGTAACTTGCAGAAATTGATGTGGAGGAGCGTTGCAATTTCTTGCAGATGATGCCACCGTCTCTGGAACCTGTACTGTTTTCATTAGGAGCCAAATTTGCAAAGATTGTGGAAGCCAAACTGCCTAGCCCTGAAGAAAAAGTCCTTATAAAACAGGAATGAGAAGCTGGTACCAAGAATCTTTTCCTAATGCTGCTTGTGGCATAGTCTGCAGAGCATTTTATGCATGTTATGTTCTGCATATTTTGTAAACGTGCACCAGGCAGTTCACTTTCTCCTGGCACTGACAATCCAAAAGAAATTATATATTGAAAAAAAAAAAAAGGTACAACGTTAAGAGAGAAAATAAGGTCTGATAAACGATCTATATTTCTGTCTTCTTTTTATGGTCCTAGATTTCAGGATCTACAGTTACTTGATGTTACTTTGACTGCCGCTGGTAGAAAAGTGATCAGTTGCACCACATACTGAAAAATGCTCTATGTCTTACCCTATCTTTGTCTTCACTAGAAAGCAGGTATTTGGCCTGCTCAGAATTTAATTATTTATTTGTAATAACATTCTCTTTTATAACACTCTTCCCTCATTTACTTATTTGAATTAACCAACAGAGTCCTGCCATTGCTTTTGGTTTTATTAAAATGACATCAAGACACGTGCCCAGTAATTCATCACTTGAGTCCTAAGT